TCCAACACTTTCATCTGACCTCCTCCTTCCCCAGGAGGGAGTTGACAATGCAGCCATTATAATGCAGAATCGACAGTCCAATTGGATGATGTGGATTCTCAGTGCGCACGTGCCTGCTGAATACAAGGCTGCTGCCTGTGACATCATTCCTGTCTTGTGCTTCCACTGGTGCACCCCAACCGCTTTAGAACAATGGCTTCTCGGGGCGCCTGGGTGGCGCAGTCGGTTGAGCATCCGACTTCAGCCAGGTCATGATCTCGCGGTCCGTGAGTTCGAGCCCCGCGTCAGGCTCTGGGCTGATGGCTCAGAGCCTGGAGCCTGTTTCCGATTCTGTGTCTCCCTCTCTCTCTGCCCCTCCCCCGTTCATGCTCTGTCTCTCTCTGTCCCAAAAATAAATAAACGTTGAAAAAAAAATTTTTTAAAGAACAATGGCTTCTTGAAAGATTTTATTACTGAAGAGGTAATACTTTGATATCGTATCCAATTAAAACATACAAAAGCATAAACACGAAGATGTGGAGAAATCGGAACCTTCGTGCCCTGTCAGTGGGACTGCAAAACGGGTGCAGCCGCTGTGGAAAGCCGTATGATGATTCCTCAACAAATTAAAAGGAGAATCACAATATGCTCCAGAAATTCCACTTCTGGGGATTATACCCAAAGGAGCTGAAAACAGGCACTCAAACAGCTACTTGTACGCCAGTGTTCAGACAGCATTATTCACAACAGCCAAACAGTCCCAGTAGCTACCAGTAGACAAATGGATAAATCGGCAAAATTCCTACCGTGGAATAGTATTCAGCCATAAAAAGTACCGCATCCGTGCTTCCACGTGGAGGAGGCTTGAAGGTATTAAGCCAAGTGAAATGAGGCAGACACAAAAGGACAACTATTGTATGATTCCACTCACATGGGATACACGAATAGGCAAATATATCGAGACAGAGGTTCCAGGGGGAGGGGGCGGAGGAGGCGGAGTGGGGAGTTATTGTTTAACAGGATGAGGAAAAAGTCCTGGACACAGACGGTGGTGACAGTTAACCCCATGAATGTGCCTAATGCCACCGAATTGGATATTTTAAAATGGTTAAAAAGGTAACATTTAAGTTATGTGTATTTTGTCACAGTACAAAAGAGTGTATTTTTAAAGAGTACGCAATGAAAAGGAAGTCCCCCTCCCGCCGCAGTCCTTGCCATACAACCCCCTCCTTGGAGACCCTCCTAAGACCAGGTTCTGACTCTCCTTCTGAAGACTGGAGTTACACAGGTAGGTGCTCTCCTCCTGAACCCTTCTCCCTAGCTTCTGTTCACTCCATAAAGGGTGGCATACTAGACACATGGCTTTATATTTTGCTTTTTGCGCTTAACAATATGCTTTGGGGAGCATCCTTGTTCTTCTGTGTCTCCCTCTCTCTCTGCCCCTCCCCACCTCGCACGCTGTCTCGCCCTCTCTCTCAAAAATAAGTATTTTTTAAATTTTTTAAAAATTAAAAAATAAGGGGCGCCTGGATGGCTCAGTCGGTTAAGCCTCCGGCTTCGGCTCAGGTCGTGATCTCGCGGTCTGTGAGTTCGAGCCCCGCGTCGGGCTCTGTGCTGACAGCTCAGAGCCTGGAGCCTGCTTCGGATTCGGTGTCTCCCTCTCTCTCTGCCCCTCCCCCGCCCATGCTCTGTCTCTCTGTCTCTCAAAAATAAATAAACATTAAGAAAATTAAAAATTAAAAAGAATGGTAGAATTTCAGAAACCCGCCAAGTGTGTGTATTCGTGAGGACAGGGTGGGGATACGATCTCGTCAGTCCGGCTTCACAAACGTTTATGGAGGCCACACCAGGAGAAAGGTCCCTTGCTAGATGCTGGTATAATAATAGCCGACAGCTATAAAGCTCTTACCATGTGGCGGCTACTGTTCTTTGCACATTAACTTACTTAATCCTCAGAACAACCTTATGATGTAGGTGCTATTATTAATTAGTCCCGTTTTACAGGTCAGTACTGCCGGGCATGAAGAGGTAAGTAACTCGCCTAAGATCCCATAGCTAATTAGTGATGGAACCGGGGCTGCACCCAGAGTGGGGCTCTAGGGCCCTTGCTCTTGTGCAGTCCTGATGCTGCCTCTCGGGCATGCAAACATTTACAGAATTTCATGCCAGCCCCGGGCTTCCTACTGAGAGAGGTATAATGATGCCTTAGACATAAGCCCCATGCTCAATGAGTTCATGGCTGCAGCAGGGGCAGAATTACCCTAATACAAGGCCAAGAACTGATCAGTGTTAAAAGAGGAACAAATCAAATGTTCTGGATGGTGGAGGAAAGATGATGAGAAATATCTTGTAGAGGACAGGACATCTGAGAGTAAAGGGAACCAACAGTAATGGACCAGCCATCCCACACCGGCCACTTCATATGTTGAGTCCTCCTGATGACCCTATCACCGACCCCATTTCACAGACCCAAAAAACTGAGGGTCCCAGAGATGCATTAAAGTGGTGAAGCCAGGAATCCTCTCCCAGGATCAGCTATAACTCAGAGCCAGCAGCCTCTCTGCGGTGAGGTGCCAACAAGGTGTTCCCAAGGCCAGTGACATCAGCCCTCCTGTGTTGGGAACGTGTGGGATCTTTAGTCAGCCTAATGTGAATTGTGGCCAATTAACAAGCCAAAAGCACTTTGAAGATGACACGGTGCATGTAAAGGGCCCGTTCCCACAGATGGCAGTCAGTGAGGCAGGACAGGGCGGTTTGGGGTGAGGATTATGGGGGGACAATGTCTCAGCAAGGCAGGAATTCCTGGGGCAGAGGAGCCAAGAGGGAGGAGGTTGAGCTCATCAGCCAGGCTGGGCTCCAGGAGAAACCTCACTGTTTCTAGAAGGATCAAAAGGAGTCTCTTAAGAGGTCCTGGGAAGCTGTAGCCCTCTGGCCACCCTCCTAAAACAATGATGTGAATGGGGGCATCCCGCATGCTGCTCAATCGATGGTCACCACACACTGGCCTCTCGCCAGATGCTTATATAAAGTATCAGCAGAAGGAGACACAAAAACCAGGGAACAGTTGTTGCCTCAGAGAGAACTGCAGGGCTGGCTCAGGGGAGGGAGACAGACTTTTCACCGCACACCCTTGTGCTTCCTTTGAATTTTGAACCATCCAATTGTATTATCTCTTCAAAAACAAATAAATAAAGCTGAAATTTTTAAATAAAGATGATCAGAGCATATCGCTGGGGAAAGAGAAAGGTTACAGAGTAGCTTGTTGGATGTAATTTAATTTCTATGTTCTAAAACCCTACGTGTGACACCAATAAGGGAACACACTGACATCACAGACCTCCTAATGGGATGCACTGAGGACCCGGGATCACTTCCGTGGTGTTGCTGCCCTAACTGCCAAACCTGAATCTACTCCTAAGGACGTGTCAGGCAAACCTTGAGTGGCCCGGCCTGTACGCCTCCAAAATGTCAAGGTCATGAAAGAAAAAGAGGCAGAGGACCTATTTTAGACGGAAGGAGAATAGAAACCCATGGCGACTAAATGTAACTGTGTGGTCCTGGATCGGATCCTGGAGCAGAAGAAAAAATTGCAGTCAATGACGTTGGTGAGACAATTGGCAAAATTTAAGTCAAGACGTGCAGACTAGATAATGGTACTGTGTCAACATTAAATTTCCAGATTTTGTTGATTATAATATGGCTGTATAAATTAATATCTTTGTTTTCCAGAAATACATAATGAAGTATTTAGCAGCAAAGGCTCAACTTACTCTCAAATGGTTAATACACATATATATTAATATGTATATATGTATTACATATACATATATATTAACATGTATATATATGTATATACATTAATATGTATATATATGTATGTACATAGAAAGAGAGAGAGAGAATGATAAATGTGGCAAAATGCACATCTGGGTAAAAGATATATGAGAGTTCTTTATACTAATCTTGTAAGTTTTCCTTAACTGTGAAATTAATTCAAAAACAATAGAAAGATATAAGCCGAAATCTTATCAGTGCTTATTAGTGTGGCGGGATTGCCATTGAGTATTTTTTCTTTTTGCCCATCTATACTTCCCTCGTTTTTTTCTTTCCTTCCTCCCTCCCTCTCCCTCTTCTCTCCCTCCGTCCCTCTGCCCTTCCCTCTGTCCCCCTGCTCCCTTTCTTCCTTCCTTCCCTCTTTCCCTCCCTCCTTCCTTCCTTCCTTCCTTTCCTTTTGAAAAAGTAATATGGTAAAAGTAATTCAGCCTAGTTCTTTTCATTGTTGTTGAAGTAATCTCTACACCTAACGTGGGGCTCAAACTTACAACCCTGGGATCAAGAGGCCATGTATGTTCTACCAGCAGAGCCAGCCAGACTCCCCTTTGGTAAAAGCAATTCAAATGCTATAAATGCCTATTCCAGCATAAGTCTGCCTCCTCAGCTCCCCAGCACCCCTCGCAGAGGTCACCACCACCATTACATGTTTCTAGCTTCTCCTTGCAGATGTATTCTGTCCGTACACGAACGTGGACTGTCTAGGTAGCCTCTCCTTGCTTTCTCCCCACAAATGGTGGCATCTCGTATCTTGATGTGCACACCATTCTGTACCTTGCCTTTCCTCAGATAACACTATGTATCTTCATGATCCCTCTATATGAAGACATATTTTTAAGGGCTGCCTAGAATTTCATTGCACTGCTGTGTCATGATTCTTTGAACCAATCCCCATTGTCATGGACAGTTTAGTCCTTTTCCAATCTTTTATAAGCAAAATTACAATGAATTGTACCCACTTCTTTGTGCACAATGTGCAAATAAATACATAGAGAGGATAATCTCCTACAAGTGGAGGTGCTTCCTGGAAGCACGTATGCTTTCACATTTTGAAAAAAATTTTTTTAACGTGTTTATTTATTTTTGAGACAGAGAGAGACAGAGCATGAATGGGTGAGGGTCAGAGAGAAGGAGACACAGAATCTGAAACAGGCTCCGGGATCCGAGCTGTCAGCACAGAGCTTGATGCGGGGCTCGAACTTACGGACTGCGAGATCATGACCTGAGCCAAAGTCGGCCGCCCAACCGACTGAGCCACCCAGGCGCCCCTGCATTTTGGATGCCGTCGTGGTTGGCCCGCAGGATGCGCACATCTGGTTCTCCACTGCCTCCGCACACCGCACGCTTCACATTTTTGGATCTCTGCCAATCAAATAGATTTTTTTTTTTAAATGATATCTGGTTGTAGTTCCAATTTGCATTTCTATTATGACAAGCATAGATGGTATCTTATCATTTTCTCTAAATGCCGTTTGTATTATTCTGTCATCCCTCCCTGCAAGTATATGAATGATTTAAATTTTCTACCACAGACCTAACCCTCCCACAGAGATACCCGTGGCATGCATTAATCCCAGGCTGAGCCCTCTTTGGACCCCTCTGGGGACTGAAAAGAAGAGGATCTGTATCTCCTGGTGCATCTGGACCACAGCCATCCCAGGGACTCCAGTCTCCTTTTGTGTTTACTAGCTGTAAACCAAGGGCGATAATTTACCATGGGAGCTGGGAACGCGACTCAGCTCAGGGTTGGGCAGCCCCAGGCTCTCTGACCAGCCAGCCCCTGGTGCCTGGCCCATGAAGGCCTGATCTCAGAGTTTGCAGCGTGCCCCCTGCCCATCCTCAAAGAACAGAACTTCTTAGTCCCTCTGAGTTTCTGTTTTCTCCCCCAGTCTTTGAAAAGCTGTGGTGGGAACAGAACACTTCATTCAAAGGAAGTCCTGAAAGGCCCTTTTGTGGTGCATCCGGTCCAGGAACCAGCTCAGTGTTCTCTGAAGGAAAAAAGACTTGAACAAAAGCTGGCATCCTAGGAACCCTGGAGGTCAGGCCCTCGTTAATTAGCCACTGGCGTCCCTGCCTCATTAGTATTCAAACACAGGCAGAACACAGCTTCTGCCCCTCCAAGCTTTCCCTTAAACCTCCTCCATGCAGAGATTGATGTTAGAGGTGGGATTTTTTTTTTTTTTTCCCTCCATCACTTGCAAGATATCCACAGATAGGGGCTTTTTCTACCTCAGGACCTGGCTGAGGGGGGACATGGCCAGGTGGTCAGTCATTATCTTGATCACACCCTTCGTGTAGACAGAGCCCCAGCTTTGGAAGCAAATGGACTGATGTTCAGATTCCCCACTCTACCCCTTTCTGGCTGGATGACCTTAGCAGATGACCTCTCGGGGCTAGTGTTCTCCCTACAATTATGGATTTACAATAGTACCTATTGTTCAAGGAAGGTGCTAGTGTCTTGGGACACAGAAAATGTGCAGAAAGGGGATTTGGAGATCACAGAAGAACAGAATGAGAAGGGATTCGTTTGCCAGGCTTTTTCTTAGAGGAGATCAACCCAAGGAAATAACCACTGAGTTCTAAAAAAAAAAATGCAATCAAATCCTAATACTTCCTTTTGAGTTGAAATTCAGAAACTTCTTATTATGCTATTACCTTCAAGGTAAACAATTAAAAAGTAAAAGAAATAAAAAAGTAAATCCTCGCCCTCGCTGCTAAGGCCCCATGTGAGCAGGCCTCTGTCCACCTCCTTGTCTCCAATCCACTCAACCTTGGACTGTGGGGTGTCGGCGGGGGCAGGGGCACGAGGGCAGGCCATCCCGAGATGGGCCACATTGGCATGAAGATTATTTCGAGCTGAAGGCAATCAAGACCCTATGGGCTCAATAGAAACTTTTGCCCCTCCTTTAACTACCCAGAAAAATCTAAATTGGGGGTGTTTTTCAGAACAAGGGTTATTACCAGAGATAAATTTCATCTGAGTCACCCATCTGTATGGCAGGGGCAACATCTAATTACCGAACATCTGCTTTTCTTCTTATCGCCCTTTGAAGTGCACTCCTTTGCCCTGAAGTCCCAGGCCCCCTACCCACATCTCTTCAGTTCAGGATGACAAACGTACCTCATTTTGCCTGACCATTTTGGGAATTGCCATGTGTGTACGGATTCCCCATCTGTACGTCATTAAATTTAATTTCCTCCTATTCATCTGTCCCAAGTCAATTTGACTCTTAGTCCAGCTACAAGGACTCTTGAGGGGACAGGAGTTCTTGCTCCCCGACAGCTCCAAGACTGTGCCAGTGAGCATCTCTCAGTGTGTGAATGCTCAGGGTTCCCTTATCCCTCCCCCAACCCCTGATGGTGGAAGCCCTTTCGACCTAGACTTTCTCCCACCCTCTCCTCTCCACTCTGGCTGACTCTTGCTCAACATTCAGGTTTCAGCTGAAACATTCACTTATTTAGGATGTGCAGGGGCCCGAACCCCTGAATGGGTTATTTGCTCCTACAACCCTCTCTCTGCAGGTTCTGTCTGTAGTTTCGGACACCCTGTTTTCCTTGCTAGCTGCTAGAGCCACCAGGATGCATTCCTAGAGCTGGCACTGTGACTCACTGTGACTGGCACCTGGAAGGGGCTTGTGGAATATTTTGGCAAGGAAGAAGAGGGGAACATATTGGGGAAGGAAAAGATAGGTTGGAAGGGAGACGTGGATGTACCGATGGGCTTTCTGGAGTCCCACAGCAAAGGGCAGCCACCTACTCGCTTCCCGCCTGGGTAAAGCCCCCTGGAGATGAGGAGAGGTTGGGACACACACGTCTATGGCACTTGAAGGAACAAGCCCTTTGAAATCCCCTTCTGAACTTTGCTGGGTACTTCCTCTTAGAAGCTTCAAAGTGGTTTTCAAACCCTAATTACCCCACACACTATGGCCCCAGGCAGCCGCCACACTGGGCCTCGATGTTCCTGTTTGCAAGTTAGGAAACTGAGCCCCAAAGTTACGTTCTTGCCCGGGGCTCGAAGAGGAAATCAGCCTGAAAGGTTGTTGCCGTTCTCAGGAAACTACCCAACAGAGGAAGAGCTGGAAGCTGAGGGTACTTTGGGCCTCGGTTTACCTATATGGGTGAGGGGACCCTCACTGCTCTACAATTCTTTAATTCTCTATTGTGCATTTACCCAGCTCAGGAGTTATAATGAGGCAGCCCGGGCAGGCCACATGCGGCCCTCAAACATGTGTTATGATTGTCTTAGGGTTTGTTTTTTTTTAACAGAAGATTTTTATAGCAAAACTGAAATTTGAGGATTCTCTTGAAACATCAAAAGGTCTGGAAACACTGGCCCCACAGATTCCATCTCCACTAGGTGTAAGGCTAGCTGGAGCTGGGCAGCAGCTACCTCCTTTGCACAGGGCACATGTTCGCCAATTTGCCACAGACCCCAGCGCCCCCTCTTGTCTCTGACCTGGCTTCCTTCACTCCTTCATGAAACCTGCTGAGCCCTCTTGGCAATTGAATCAAAGCTCTTGTACTGCCTCTTCCACCTTGGTTACTACCTCTGGTTGCACTGGCCTTCTCTGGGTTTCTTGTAAAAGCCAAACTCTTTCCAGCCACAGGACCCTTATATATGCTGTCCTGTCTGCCTGGAACACTCTTCCCCCACAACTCTCCGTTGAAGGGTGGCTTCCTCTATCTGAATTGGGTTCCCCTTAATGTATCTATAGCTATCTCCCAGGCCGCATCACAACTTGTATTTATGCATGAGTGTGCTTACTTGCTGGTCTTCTGTCTCCCCTATTAAAATACAAACTCCTGGAGGGCAACAAAACCTCAGTGTTATTGACTGCTGCCTCTGCAGCATGCAGCCCAGAACCAGACAAACCTTGGGAACTTGGTAAATGTTTCTGGCGTGAACGTGTGAATGAATGCATGAATGGGACCCTGGCAGGCCCAGTGGATGTCCATCCAATGATAAGTAGCCAGGCATCCTGCCAGGGGCTGGTAAGTAGATACTATTTGCCCAGTTTCCTTGTGGCATTCGCTCAGGCACATGTGCTCCCTTTTCCAGAAGCCCTGGGATAAAAAGTGAGCGAGAACACTTCAGGGGGGTTTTAAAAGTATTTATACCTGGATACATGTGTCAGGCAAGGACAGATGACTAAAGCAACCAAAGAAGACGCCAAGATGACAGTACAAAGTGAGGCTTCTTCCAGATGCAGAAAAGGAGGCTTGGCTTCAATTAAATCAGCAAGTCCCAAAGTGGATGCAGAGAGGGGGGATGATGGACACCAATCTCAACAATCACGAAAAGGAGAGCCTCCCTTGAAGTTTAAGAGTTTAAGGCAAAGACAAGCCACCTCCCTCATTCTACTTTATGCAAAGGACCTTATGATGTCTTCTGCCCAAGACACAGGATGAGTCAAGAATAAAAACAGGTTTAAGGAAGCATCCGATTGCTAGGGGACAGGTCAGAGGCTGGGTTGGAGGCCCATTTACAACCATGTGGTCAGTGTTTGGTGATGTCGAATGAATAAATGACGGCACGAATATTGTAGATATCCAATATTATAAGATGCCATATTGCATGCCTCTCCCCCCAGGTGCCCAGCAGATCCTGGCCAAAGCAAGAGTGCTGGGCAAAACAGATTCAAACGGTCATTCATTTGGTGTTTCTGGTATCTCCAAGCTGTACCTAACTCGTGTTAAAAAGGTTAACCTTCCTGTCTCTCTCTGTCCCAAAAATAAATAAACGTTGGAAAAAAAAAATTTTTTTTAAGAAAAAGGGGCGCCTGGGTGGCGCAGTCGGTTAAGCGTCCGACTTCAGCCAGGTCACGATCTCGCGGTCCGGGAGTTCGAGCCCCTCATCAGGCTCTGGGCTGATGGCTCAGAGCCTGGAGCATGTTTCCGATTCTGTGTCTCCCTCTCTCTCTGCCCCTCCCCCGTTCATGCTCTGTCTCTCTCTGTCCCAAAAATAAATAAACGTTGGGAAAAAAAAAAAAAAAAGGTTAACCTTCCAGGCTGGGGAGTCAGCCAC